TATCTGTCTGTCTCTCACTCTCATTCTTGCACTCACTCTGAGTCTGTGTCTGTCTGTGTGTGTGTGTCTCTCTCTTTATCTCTGTTTCTCTTACTCTGTCTGTATCTGTATCTGTCTTTGCCTCTCTCTGTCTGTGTCTCTTTCAATCTGTGCCTCTCACTGTCTGTGTCTGTATCTGTATCTGTGTCTGTGTCTATCAGTGTCTCACTCTGCCTGTGTCTCTCTGTGTCTGTGTCTCTCTCTGTCTGTCTGTGTCTGTCTTTGTCTGTGTCTGTCTTTGTCTTTGTCTGTGTCTGTCTCTTTCCCTCTCTCTGTCTGTGTCTCTTTCTGTCCCTGTCTGTATCTGTGTCTGTGTCTATCAGTGTCTCACTCTGCCTGTGTCTCTCTGTGTCTGTGTCTGTGTCTCTTTCTGTCCCTGTCTGCATCTGTGTCTGTGTCTATCAGTGTCTCACTCTGCCTGTGTCTCTCTGTGTCTGTGTCTCTTTCAATCTGTGCCTCTCACTGTCTGTGTCTGTGTCTGTGTCTGTATCTGTATCTGTGTCTGTGTCTGTGTCTGTGTCTCTTTCTGTCCCTGTCTGTATCTGTGTCTGTGTCTCTTTCAATCTGTGCCTCTCACTGTCTGTGTCTGTATCTGTATCTGTATCTGTATCTGTATCTGTATCTGTATCTGTATCTGTATCTGTATCTGTATCTGTATCTGTATCTGTATCTGTATCTGTATCTGTATCTGTATCTGTATCTGTATCTGTATCTGTATCTGTATCTGTATCTGTATCTGTATCTGTATCTGTATCTGTATCTGTATCTGTATCTGTATCTGTATCTGTATCTGTATCTGTATCTGTATCTGTATCTGTATCTGTATCTGTATCTGTATCTGTATCTGTATCTGTATCTGTATCTGTATCTGTATCTGTATCTGTATCTGTATCTGTATCTGTATCTGTATCTGTATCTGTATCTGTATCTGTATCTGTATCTGTATCTGTATCTGTATCTGTATCTGTATCTGTATCTGTGTCTGTGTCTCTTTCAATCTGTGCCTCTCACTGTCTGTGTCTGTATCTGTATCTGTATCTGTATCTGTATCTGTATCTGTATCTGTATCCTGTATCTGTGTCTGTGTCTATCAGTGTCTCACTCTGCCTGTGTCTCTCTGTGTCTGTGTCTCTTTCAATCTGTGCCTCTCACTGTCTGTGTCTGTATCTGTATCTGTATCTGTGTCTGTGTCTATGTCTGTCTCTCTCCAGTAGTATACCCTAATAATAATCTTGGAAATAGGTATGCAAAAAAGTATGTGATATCTCTCTACAATGAATAAATTAATCAATTGATAAAATATCATAAATAAAACAAATAAAGTAAAAGAGTTTGGATAAAATTATTGAAAAATGATGAATGATGCTGATGCTGATGATGACAATAATAATAATAGTATTAATAAAAATAACTATTCAAATAGTAACAACACTAATACTAAAACTAATACTAATGATAATAATGATGATATAAAAATATGAAAATCACAACACAATCTTTAAAAATAGCATCTTTAATACCTCTAATTTCAGTTGATCACATTCCTTTATCATCAACTCCTTCTTCTTCAGTGCTTCATCAGCAGCTTTCACAGCCTTTGTGATTTTGTCCGGTGCTTCAGTTGTTGCAAAGCGCAACTGAAAATCAAGTTTGCATTAAATTTCGAGCAAACATTTGAGAATAATTACGTATTTCTTCTTTCCTTTAAAGAACATTCAATTCCACCAAACAGACAAGGATTTACTAAAACCTACCCTTCTCTCCAGCTCCTCTTTCGTCCTGGTCAGTTCTTTAACCAAGCCACATGCCTTTTCTAGACACTTTAAGTCATTTCCAAAGACAGAGTTCAACTGCTGTACAACTTTGAAATTGACTTCATCTTGATCAACTAGAAACTGGAAGCTGTCATCTAAATGCATTGTGCCCATCTTTGATATATCTATGTGCTGGGTAATACACTTCTTGTTAGTCTTTCCTGATTAAAAAAGTCCTGGTAGCTTTGTGGGGCAGCTGTGCTCCTGCGTTTTTGACAATGATCTTAACAATGGTTAAAAATGGTTAGCTGTTTTATCTTGCTTGCTTTGACAATCAAAGAAATAATCTGAAGCTGCAGTACAATCTAGTCACAGCATCAACATGGATTCTTTTAGTCCAGCTTACTTTGTTCACTAAGCTGATCCTCTGGCTTTAGCAGCCCTAATGCATAAGTAAACTTTTCTGTGTCCCTGATACCTCCAAATCTAAGGAACAGATAGAGTGAATCCTTGGGCTTTGAAAACCTTAACAAATGCACGTAAATATCTGATGGAATATCAGAAGTGTCTGTTATAGGTACTAGGTCTTCCACAGGGATAAAAATGTCTTTACGGTTCCCCCAGAAGGAAAGGTGAGACACTTTCACAATATCTTTCCTGGCGTTGTAATAAATATGACCGACTGTTCTGCGGAAAATTTCTCCCAT